AGGAGATCGGGCTGAAACTATAGCTACAAGCTATCCAAGGATGGTACTATAGAATGTCACCTCAAGGTAGGCCTAGTGGCGTCATCTCTTGGTTAGGCCGGAAACTTATCAATCCACCCTCGTATAAAGACATTCTATAGTATATTTAGTATGTTCAGGGGGTATCTTTTGAAGATTTCCCCTTTTCGATAATAATCTAAACAAAACAAAAATATATTTAGTATCAGCATTGCACCCTTGCGAAGTTGTATCTAAAACACTTAAAAATTCCTTTTTATAAAATATATTTATATCAAATCTCGCTGGATTAAATCCGCAGCTATCAATTTTTGGCGAAAGTCTTTGTTAAAATTTCATCTTCCTTTCGCCTTATTAAAATGAGGGTTTCTGTAGTTCCAATGATTATGTATGTTGTGTCTACTTTATTCAAGTCGCCCTTTCTATGTTGGATATGTAAAATAGGGATAAAACGTAATAATTAGAGATTTTGCTTAGCTTTACTTATTTTGCAAAATAAGAACTTTGTTATAATAAAGATGCTACAATCTTGCCGTGTGTGTATTGTAGCTTTGCTCAATAATTTTTTTAAAAAGACTTCCTTAATTTTAGCATATAACATATATCGGTATGCCATTTTTACAACAAGAATCTTGACATTTTTACACATAATACACGATGATGCTACATGCTACAAGGGTCATCTCTGCTACCTGCGAGAGTTCAGTGAACACCGAAGTAAGGACCGATATTACTTTAATAGTCCCTTTGCTGTTTTGTAATTTTATTGAAAACTAAAAATCTTTTGAGTGTTTCATTCCCACCAGCCACTAATGATGGTGGGCGGACAATTCCTCCGGACTACACTGGAATGTAGGGCGACAATCGTGGGAATGGGTGGGTGGGTGGTGATTCGGGTGAGAATGATGAGAGAATGAAGGATTATCTGTGGAATATTACTGCCATAGCATCTACTTAAGTGATCCAAGGAAACCACAGAAAAATTTGGACCTAGGCAAACAGAATCGAAATCGAACCGGCGTCCTCCCGAATGCTAAGAAATGGTCTAAACCTCTTGGCCATGCCGCTAGTTGCAATCTTATTACAGCCCGTAGATGAATACTCTTCCAGTTTTTCAAACAGATTTACCTCCAGGCATTTTCAAACGAAAATATGAATGAAGTCTATTTTTAACGTAGTTATTTACTAATGAATAACACTAGTTGAGAAACCAACTGAAGCAGCACCTCCGGCATCTTCGCTTTCGGCTAGGGGCTGATGGCAGATAATTGAATATAAAACTTTTACTTTTGCCTCTGATTCCATACTTAATGTAAATAGGTACTTCAGCTAACTTCGACTTCTTTGGAGATGTTGCAAAATTTATGCGTTAATACAATTTGTTTAGTAACTACGGAACGATTTATTTGTCGTATGTATTCGACACAATAAATCATTAATAAGAAGAAATTGACATCAAACAAAAAAAAATTGGAGATGAAACGAAAGCGACTGTAATGTAAGATCTCGTTTTCGCTCATTAACATTCCGCTTATATTTGAAATAGCGCACACCGCCGATTCGATATTAGACAGGATAAACAGGACTGATTTCATATTTATTCTAATTAGATACTAATTTATTAACAGTATGTATCTTAATGCAATCCTTTAAATCTACTTATTAGGTGTATTCCGTAGCCCCTGCTTTTTAAGCCTTTTTAATACAGTTCGTCCCATAAGAAGTGAGTCGATGACATGAAAAAATGTGGATGAAGGATAATATATTTGTAACTGACTAATGCTGGTTCGCTCTGCACTTATTTCTACATCCGTTGGCTTCTTCTGATTACAAAAAAAAAAGAAAAAGAAACTGCTAAATCGCTGACAGAAAAATTGTTTTAAATCCTTATGACACGTGCACTGCTAAGAGTGGAAAATAGTAAAATAAAGGAAAATACACCCTTTCCCTTAATTTAAGAAGGTATAAATGCACTAATAATTAGTAAACTTTTAAATGTAGTAAAATTAAGCCATTAGTACTCACAAACACGCATGCACGCTTTTCTGGTAAGCACATTCTTAAATGTCATTCAAAATTCTGGAATATTTTCGAACATTCTTACGAACAAAACCTTGCTTGAATGAAATTATTCGAATTAGAAAGAGAAACTTACTCTTTTGTCACACATTGTACTTCACTTCCACACACAAACACCTGCCTCAACCAAACTCGCACATCTAAGAAACTACTTTCTTTGGTACAAGGTGTTTATTAATTTTATAATAAAATAAAATAGTTGGGCATAGGTACTAATATACAGGGTGGCCTAAAAAGTACGCAGTATACTGAAGTTCTTAGGCATTCACGGCTGGCGTTTATCGATGCTGTGTGTTTTTTTCCTGGCTTTTTGCCCGTGGAATGTTACTTTTCCAAACGTTTCGCCGTTCTTTGCTGACGGCATCTTCAGTGGTGAACAGGCAGGTGCTGAGTCGTAACTGATGCAGGGTTACCCTTCTTATAATGAACTCGTTAGGGTAAGTGGTGTTATGGTTCACTACGTCCATGTTGTTTCTATGTCCTCTTCGGTTGGTAGCACATCATCTCTGTTTATGTTATTAGAATGTTGTTCAATTTCCAGAGCTTCCCTTCTAGCCAGATTGTAGAATCGCGACGTTCTAACCAGGACAGTTGTATTTTTAAAATATATGGTGTGGCCTCCCTCAAACGCGTGTTGAACTATAGCTGATTTTTCGGGTTGAAGTAATCTGATGACTTTTTCGTATTCTTTTCTCCTTGTCAATATGCTGCGTTGCGTCATCCCAATGTGCAATATTGCAAGATTCGAAATGAACTACGATCAGCAAAGGACCCTCTAGATCCACTACTAATACCAGGAGTTTACCGTTAATGTGATGTGTGTGATGTGAATGTGGTAAAGACTACTTGCTCTCTCTTATAAAAGATAGTCTGTATTATTCAATTTTGATTTACTAATACAGTGTTTGAAAATAGAAAAGACAAGGTATCACTTAAATGGCGGTCATGTAAAACATGACTCTAATCGAAAAAGGTTAAAGGAAAAGTTTTTCAAAATTCCAAAATATGAGGTTATGTAAAACATCGCGACGATATGAAAATGTTTTAATTTTAGGTACGTTGAATTATTTTTATTGTCATGAAATGAAGCTTAAGTATAACTGGCATTAACACCTTCTGACTGCGATCTCCATCCTGGAAGCGTGACATTGGTTTCTGGTGCTATTTGCTGATTTGCATCAATTAGTTGAACACTCCTAATTGTATCACTAATGGTCAAATTTAGTAACAATTTTATCGAAACGACATCATAGTCGGGACCTAGGTTAGTCGTGTTAGGAGCCTCTGAGAACTGAGGATGGTTCAAGAGTTCTTCAGCTTGTACTAGAACACATCTTCGCTGTTGAGCACCAGCAAGAACCGTTACATTTGTCCTTTAAAAGAAGAGTACATAATTAACTACGAAGGTAAACTTATAAAGAGAAAAATTAAAGTTAAAACACTTGTAAACAATTTTATTGTCAACCTAACCAACGTTTCACCACGGTGTGGATTCTTCAGATGTTTTAAATATACATAGTTAATATATATTAGAAATTACAGCTGTTTCAATTTCAAGTCTACAATGAATAGAATAAAAAAAGATTTATTGAATAATAATAAAGATATCTACTTTATATATCTTAAATAAGTTTATAAATATGTATTTTGTACTTATGACGGGGCTAAATATAGGTATGTATAACACCCTTATGTTAGACACATTAACAATTAACTTGTGACAAAGTTCACTCATACTTACTCAAGTAAACATTGACTCGCCGTAAGTATCCATGCGTTGGACAATATTGATCTACCGCAAAAGAGATAATCCGTAGTAATTTGCACTACATAACGAAAATCGTTTATTGATGCTTTAGATCCTCCAACAATTCTAACAGAATCCGATGAATCGTATTGCTCAAATTGGCCATTCTGAGGAAATGCTAATAAAGGAAAATTATATTTAATTTACATTTCAGAAATCAAAATAAGTTACTTGTTTACAAAGAGTTAACTGTATATAGGCTTATAGACAATCAAAGTTTCAGTACTCGATCTTACTGAACAATGACTAATATGTTCGGTTTTTTTACCACCACATTTATACTTATTGCAGAATGCAGTGACTTAAATTCTATTAATTTTTAATTCGTTTCTATGGATAAATATTGACTAACACAAAGACATGCTTTCATGGAGACCAAACAGAAACTTATAGACCTCGCTGGTGCCTTACCTCTGCTCTATCCCATACCCATTTAATTAATTAATACAATTAGGTATATTCAGTGCCGGCTTTGGAAGGGAGCGACCGGGGTGGCTGCTCGGTGCGCTAGGTACTACAGGACGCCACGCGCCAGCTCATCTTAACCACTTAATTTGAATACATATTTTTATCGGTCTAAAGGAAAACTAGATTCAGTTAACTTTTACAGATTTATCTCGTAGAAGTGAGTATGTGTAGTCTATGTCTAACAAACACGACCTGTCATTTTGTCGCTTGTCGTATCTCTCACTAAATAATGTAGAACTAAATAGAAGCAACAAGCGAGAAATTGCAACTCGTATTAGCCCCCCTGCATTATGCATACATTCCTTTCTTTGCTTTTTACATACTCGTGAATTCACAAGTCAGTTGAAAAACCTTTTTTCAAAAACCTATGAATTATTTATTTATTACACAAGTCAACAAAACAATACTATTTTTTGTGCCGGTTTGACTATGGCCTAATTGTTTACATTGAAAAATAATCAGAAATTCAATTTATATAAAAAAGAGTTTGCTTTTGCATTTTATTTAATGATAAATAAAAATACACGATTTTGCAAAATGCTTGGTGACAACCATTCTTAAAAAGAAAGAGAGAGTGGTGCGGGGGGGATATCGGTTATGAAAAAGTTAATACAAAAACTTATTTTATCAAAAAGACAAAGAGTAATCTAGTGTATGAATTGTGTTGTTGTTAGAAGAAATTATGAAAAGAGTAACGGTAAACCGGACCACAAAAGAAAACCGACTATGGAGCTAAATGACGACATACTGCATATTGCATTGTTATGAAAAAATGTCAATTCGCGATGACTCAGAACTGAATGAGAGAATTATCGAAACTAAAAACGAATTGAAAGAAAGAGGCAGACCACACGAGTCTAAAAACGGAAGCTGATCATCATCAAGCTCAAGCAGAGTTAGCCGCGCAAGGATTTTAGAAAGCTGGCTAGAGAAAAGGGCAGAAGCTAAAAAAAGAAGAAAAAAAAACAAATGTGTAGTTTTATGAAACACGTGAAACTTTTCGGATTGTAGGCATGTAACTGTAAATTTTCGGAAAATTATTCGATTTAGGGTATTAAAATTAAAATCGCTTTCTGGTTGATTGGAAAATGGGAATGATAATGGAAAATCAATAGTAGACAAGATATCCAACTATAAATTTTAATTTCAATCTGCGTATGAGAGTACGGAATACACAGTAAATACAATCATTCAGATGATAGACGCATGTTAAAAACTGAGAACACTATTTATTTAAATCACTTTAAACTTCAGTTAATCTATCAATTATTTCATCTTCGATTCGAATTTCACTGTCTACAAATGTAATTGTCATGCACTTGCACGAATGAGTGAGAATATAAATGCTACACGGTTAGCAGTTAACTCATGCGAGCCATGGGTGTTGCTATATTGGCCTTGGCTGCTTTGCCGAGCGCCTTTCAGATTTACCGCTACTCCGCGACCGGTTGTAATGCGACATGCGATGTCTCAGCTCCGACGCGTGACTGAAGTTTACTCCTTAAAAACAATTATCTTAAAATATATATAATAGGCAAGTGAAGTAAATAAATTCATATATTCATATATTTATTCACATTAATTTGAGAAAATATATTACCTAAATTATGGTACATACAATTTTTTAAATCATTCGCACTCCACAAATTGACGTTTGATATTTTACATGTATACTGAATGCTATAGTGAGAAAATAAGAAAGAAAGAAAGAAAGAGAGAGAGAGTAAATGTGTACTTGCGACTGAAGAACGGGGAGCGCTATAAGATGCGTGGGTATATTACGCAGAGGAAATACGACCCTTCATTTTTTGTTACGTTTGATTTTACTACCCATTTATTTTTCATAGCGTGCGCTATATATGAAACGATTCTTAAGAAGTAAACTCCAAAAAGAACGGCTGAAGAGAGCCCAGAAAGTAAAGACAGTAAAAAACATAGCATAGAAAATAAAAATAAGGAGACAATGGGCGGAAAAGATACACTGATGCAAAGGTTAGAGGAAGATTGGAAAGAAGACGAAGGGAAAAGTGACGAGAAAAGAGACAAGCGACTGAAATGGCTAATGGAAAATTCAGAGAGAAAGAAGGAAAAAGAATGTAATAATAAACGGAATGGACGTAAAGGACAAGAAAAACATAGAGAAATTAGTGGAGGAAAAGCTACTAATAAAAGTAATAGTACGGAAATTCTGCCTCGTGAGAAATGTAGAAAATACCGTAGGAGCACAGCTGGAAAACATAGAAAAAGAACACTGTTATGAAAAACAAGAAAAAGACAAAATATTTATCAACAATGACACAACATGGCTGGAAAGACAGAGCAGAAAAGAAGTCATTAAGAAAGCAACAGAACTTAGAGAAAAAGGAATAAAGTACAAAATTAGTTACAACAAAACAATAAGAGCTATATTGGAATGAAAGGAAAGAAAAATGGTTTCGGAAGGAAAGACAGAAGAATAGAATAGAAGAAAATTGTAAGTGGTATTCTGGAATGTAAGGGGCATAAATGGTTTAGACGAAGAGGATTGGGATGACGAACACACGCGCACACATACACGCACGCACGCACACACCTAATGTAAATAAGAATAACAATTTTGTTGATCAAGTTATTATCTATCTAAATTAATTGTTTGTTTTCCTGTTATACATATATAACTGAAAGAAAAAGCGCTAGCGATTTTCTTAAAAATTTAAAATTTCATTCTGATAGTTACAAAATCAAACTTTATTAGATAAAAATATTATTTCTTTTATTAATTAGATATAAGAAATCAAAATCGGATACACAGAACTCATACACTAAATTCGTGTTGACTTGTGCTTTTTGCGTGGTAGCTAAATTAAGATAAAAGGTACCATTAACACGCCCATTTAGTTTTGTTTAAAAATCTGTAGTCGGGGAAGTTCCCGTAGGTAGAGCGAATGAGCTTAAAATAAGGGACAACACTTCTATAATGAAGTAAGTATATCTAAAAGGGCGCCAAATGCATGACTAGCCCGAGGCGCCTAAATGGCTAAGGCTGGTCCTGGGTATGTTACGTAATTACAAGGCCGTTTCGTCCATAACTCTGTTATTAAACATTTGATAGAAAAAACGTTTCTATAAAAGTGTTCCAGAATCATACGGTACATATACAGAAAATATTTTCAATCATACAAGGTGCTCCATTTCACACCATACGTATTTTTATATTTTTGGTTTCATTGCTAAATTATAGATCGACGTTGTTAACAGCTTCATATATCTATCTCTAATAGCTTTTGAGATAATCAACTGTTTTTGAATAGAACACGATTTCAGGTCTTTGAATAGGACCGAAGAGCATCTTGAATATGCATACATTGAAAACTAAACAGTACTTTTTAGCACGAATTACCTTATCTTTTTTGCTATGACCAAAATGTGTACGTTATTCAGATCCGGAAATATCGAAACCTACTTTTGTCAATCTTATAAAATGAACACCTTCTTTTTCCAAGCCGAACGATCCATGTTAAATGATACCGTTCGATACAAAATTAAAAGCTCTTTCAAACTGATAAAAAATATAAACCCCCTAACAGTTTTCAGAAAAAAATAGATTAGATGAAATTCGAAAAAATACATATCACGTAGGCTCGTAGGCTTTGCAATGTATAAAATAATTTTTGTTATTAAATGTATAATAACAGAACTATGGACGAAGGTAGGCATTGGATATTTACCTTTTTGGACTTTTCCTAATAACGTATATAAAAAATAATAGTGTGTTATTCTTCATTTACTTTCTCTAGCGATGGGCCCCTTCCAATGTCTTGGATGCGCGCTGGCAAAATTATAGGCAAGGAGAAAAAAGCTCATTATACTCTCGACTCTTGTTCATTGAACATACTTTTTCATACAGTACCTGCCAAAAGTTTTGTTCAATCATGAATAGTAGTGCGAGTCGAAAACAAGCGTTAAAGCCTTTAATATGTCTTCAAATATAAATAAACATCTCGTTGATATTTTCAGTAGTAAATGGTACCAATAACAGCACATTTGAGCAATGCAATTGTAGTGGATAAAATGGTCAATTTTTCCGTGCAGTACTGTACGGATTATACGCTCCTCACCGGTTAAGAGTTTGGACGATACTTGTCTCCTTCCTTTTCTGGCTTAGTGCTGTTCTTTTCTACTTTGCGCCGGTCAAACTGAACGTCACATCGCTACAGAAAGTAAACAAAGTATACATGGGTTTGTTATCTTGAAGTCTTTGTTAGTAGGCTTTAGCTACCATAATGGTCGGGGTGACATATACTGTTTATTTACAAGATTATTTACACACAACTTATGTAATTTATATTAACTTAGTTTCATGAATATTAGTCACTATTCCCTGTTTGTCACTTCTCGACATTTTACACTAACTCACTAACTGTTATCAACTGCTCTATGCTTCCAACTGCACAACATACGTTGTTCTTATCTATATTACTGCAGATAGTATATACTTTTGTTGTGCGATACGGTATAAATCAAGAGGAAACATTGTGGAGGCAACTTAACTTTATCTCTCATTTTTAACGTAGTTGTTATTTAAGTACCTATTTATTTAATTACTTCAAGATATCTAGACAGTGATAAAAATGAAGTAAATTTAATTGCAATAATTTTTTATTAATCAATCAATTTATCGATTTCAATTTATTAACTGTAGATAATGATCAGTTTATGTCAAAACAATTTTTTTGCTGAAGAAAAAAAGCTGTTAAACGTTAGCAAAAAAATAAAATAAATTAAATAGGTATCTATGCTAAATTTTAAAAATCGAATAACAAATAAGTTTCGCCATTTTTTAAAGTCAATCTCGATATAATTTTTTATTTTTCATTGGACTTTCAATATTTGCTTAAATTTTGTTTAATTGTTATATTTTAAAAGTTTCATTAAAAACCACTTTACAAATTTATTTCCTGTAATTTTTGTACAAAACTAGCTTTATCTTCACTGTAACCCACGAACATACTTTGATATTTTGAGATACTTCGAATTTCTGTAGTGTTAATTCAATATGTTGGTGAATTACTTTTTGAATTAATTGTATCCACTACAGATAACCTCAAATTAATGCGGAAAAATTGGCCCCAGAGTCCGAGTTCGATTCCCTGCAAGGGAGTTACAGCAGCAACAACTTTTTCTCTTTAATTTGAGGTTATCTGTAGTGAGTAAAATAAATTCACTAACACAGTAACTCATGAAATAGGTAATTAATTTATCAAGTAAAACTTTATTTAATGACGCTGTTAAAAGTTAGTAATTAAGGTAAATATTGAAAATCAGGTGAAAAAAAATCACCATATCAGGAGTGAACAACAAAACCGGTCAAAATGGACAATCTTCATTTTTGCTCAAAGTCCCTTCTGAATTCGATAAGCATCGTCGTTGATGCAAGTAACGTTGTGTGGACTATCCCAAGTCTGTCGTAGTTTCTAGCAACGTCCCTTCCTCCTTGATGGATTATCTAGACATACATTGTCGCCTTCATTAAAATCAGCAGAATTGGCTTGTCGAATGTATGCGGTCATCATGCGGACACTTTCAAAAGGGCAGCTTCGTCCGCACAGTGTTATGGATGGCTTCTAGTCGTTGTCGTAGTTAGTTCACGTATTCGTCTGTAGGTACTGGATAATCTCCAGGGCGACCAAACATCGTGTCCAGCTGGCTAGTATTCTTCCAGTTGTTTCATCAATGACAGATCTATAAGCCAGGAGAAATAGTGTAATGTGATCCCAGCCAGTTTGGTGTTCATTGACATCGCTTCTTAGATTGGTTCCCGCCCTCGTTTTAATAATGACCATTAGTTCAGTTCTGTATACGCTAATCCGGTCATTGACAAGCTTCTCAGCAACGGTATGTGATTCCTGGCTCGGTATCGGTTATCGAAGTCTGTCATTGGGAATGGTCCTACCATGTCCACCGCGATTCTCTCAAAAGGCACTCCTACATTGTACTGCTGCATTCATCCAAGACTCCTTGTCTTCGGTCCCTTTCTGGGGGCGCATGTTGGGCATTCCCTGCACCAATCTTCCACATCGCTTCTACTTCGTGGTCAATAAAATTTCTCGCGTACCTTGCCTAGAGTGTTCGTAAAGCCGAAATGTACTTCGCCATGGACTACTTCTAAGACATCTGAAATTCTTTTCTTCGGAAGTACCACTTGGAACTTGTTTTTAGTTCCATCTGGACTTCCCCAGATTCTTTTCAGAACGCCGTGGTCTAAGTCAAGCCAATATCTTCGTTCTTCCTCTGGTCTTCTATTAATGCCCTATCTTCCCAGGATCTCTCAGACTGAACGTCGGTTAAATTAGAACAGACAGCTGCTCCTTCTTTTTCTCCGCAGATAAACAATGTTTGCAGTTTTTCACCCAAGATCTCCAGGATAGTGCATCTGTGTTACCGTGTTGTTTGCCTGGACGATGCTCAATGCCAAACTCAGACTGTTGAAGTCGTTGTAACCATTGAGCGATCTGAGTTTCTGAGTTCTTGAATTGCAATATCCACTTCAAGTAGGCGTCATCCGTTCTTATGAGAAACTTCCGTCCATACAGGTATTTGTGGAAATGTTCCAGGGTTTTAATTACACTCAGTAGCTCTACGGGTGACATAATAGTTTTGTTCCGGTTTCGATAGTGTTTAACTAAAGTTCCTGATGACCTATTACTTTCCATCTTATACTTTAGATAACATATCACCAAACCCCGCAATACTAGCATCGGTATCAACGATGAAGGGTTCGTTGAGCTGTAGGTACGTCAAGATTGTGGCTCCAAATAGTGTAATCTCCAAACGTTCAAATGCGTTTTGACATTCGGGTATCCAATGGAATGAAACTCCATCTTCTGTAAGTCTGTGTAATGTTCGGGATATATCAACAAATCCTCGTATGAATCTTCGATAGTGGGAGCAAAGTCCCAGAAAACTCCTAAGTTTGTGACGATCCTTCCGTATGGGCCAACTTCGTACGGCACTCGTCCTATCGGGATTAGTCATTATTCTTTTTGGTGTTATGACATGGCCTAGGTCACTTCTCTTCTAAACAGGATGCATTTTTTTGGACTCAGTTTCAATCTTGCAACCGACAATTTCTTGAAGACTTCACTCACGTTTTGGAGGTGTTCGTCGAAAGTTCTTCCTAGTGTGATGATGTCGTCTAGGTAAACTTAATAGATTTTCCAGTTTAATCTTTGTAATACAGTGTCCATGAGTCTTTAGAATATAGCCGGTGCATTGCACAACCCCAAAAGCACTACACTAAACTGTCATAGACCATTTCCAGTTTTAAAAGTAAAAGTTTTCTTTTTATTCTGCGGATGCATATCCGCTTCCTAGTATCGACTATTCAAAACAAGGGTAGAGAACCATTTTGCTCCAGTTAGACTTTCTAGTGTGTCGTCGATTCGAGGTAATGGATAGCTGTTACGTCACTCAGCTTCCGTTAGTCCACACCAATCTCGCGGAATCATCCTTCTTTCGTACCAGCACTGTAGGGAAAGCCCAAGAACTTTGAGATGGTTCTATTGCTCCTTGCTTATGCATGTCTCTTATAGGATTATTGGCTTTCTCTTGCTTCGCCCAAGGAACTCTTCCAGGCTGTTGTTTGATGAGCCTTGCTGCTCCAGTGTGATGCGGTGGTATGCTATGTTAAACGGTAAACGGCCAAGAAGCTCTTCCAATTGTTTGATTTGGTGCTTGTTGAGATAGTTACTTGATCGTTTCACAAGTTCTGCTAAAGTTGCAGGAAATAATGTCAGTTTCGTTTCAGATTCTTCTTCCCAGTCACAGAGGTGGATTTCAGCAAATGGTTCAAATACTCCCAACTCTGCGCTTTTGACATTTAGACATTTAGAACTTTTTGTGTGTAAGGATAATTTCAGTCTTCAATAAATGCTTTAAATGTACATTTAAAAAGAGGCATTTGACGTACATAGATGTGCAGTACGTAAAAGGAAAAGAAAAATGTGAAAACGCGGATAGCCGTGCCGCTGAAACATATTTAAGACGTTTGTCATAATAAAAGCATTTAATAAACTGATAACCAAGCGGCTTCATAAAGGGTAAAATTATTTAACATACGTATTTAAAACTCTTCAGTCTGTACATATGGTGTTTTTTTCCAAAATTGCATTCTTAAAATACGATGAACAAACCTAGAAATGTAGGTATTAGTGAAGTAATTTTTCCAACTATAGATAACCTCAAATTAATGAGGAGCCCGAGTTCGATTCTCGGCAAGGGGCTGAAAGCAGAAACAATTTTTGCTTATTAATTTAAGGTAATGGGTAAGATTAATTCACTAATACATTGAATTGACCCTACAAAAGCAGTGTTTCAAACTCTCAAACTTAAAACCTCTGTGGTTTTCTCTAGGTTCAGCTTCAGAACGCACTCCTGCCATAGTGGCACTATCAACATAACTAATAAAAAAACAGTTGAAACTGACATCATTCCGTTCACGTAGCGAGTCATATAAAAAAATGTTGTTCATTTCTGACTGTTTTAAAGTGCCATATGCTGAATTAAAGTTTAATTAATTTTTTAATTCACTAAAACATTGAATTGACCCTACAAAAGCAATGTCTCAAACTCTCAAACCTAAATCCTCTGTGGTTCTCTCTAGATTCAGTGATAGAACGCACTGCTATCATAGTGGCACTATCAACATGACTAATAATAAAGATGCAGTGGTGTCAAAAGTGACATCATCTCGCTATCTCGCATACCGAGTAATATAAAAAATATATAACAAATTGTTGTCTATTTGTGATTGTTTTAAAGTGTCAT